AAAAATCGCACAATGCTGATCGAATACGCACATTAAAGGTAAAGATTCACGCTTTCAAACGCTGTAAGTTGCATTTGTATGCGATTTTTATTTCACTCCATGGAACTTCGCAAATTTAGTGTAAAAAAAATTTTTAGATTTGATCATCTTCATTTGCAGCCGTGCAGCTTTGTAAAGAATTAGTAAGTCATTTAATGAATTATAAATTTTGAAAGTACAGACTTTAAGCTGTGAAATGCTTTTTTGATCATTATATTACGATAATTTTTGACCAAGTTGCTTTATCTTGAATTTTTAGAAATGATCGATTAACGCATTGTTCGGACAATTAGTTTGGTGACTGTATATATATTAATATATTATATATACTATAGAAATAAATTTGAAGTATTTTAAAAATATATTTTATATTGTTAAAGGATGCTTTATTACATGTTTAAAAATTACGAAATATCCAATTTTTGTACATAATTCCATACAACATTATTATGTATATGTATAAATACGTATATAGGCCCGTATTTAAAACGCGCTTTATGTATTATACATACAGATTTCTATAGAAATCTGTGATTATACATACATATTCTATATGTACACACACACACACACACCATATATAAATTTTTAACGAATACAACGATATGATATATAACGAAATTATCTTACAAATTATAAGAGTTATTTTGGTTTAAAGTTTTGTGGGCGATTACTACCTTTTCAATTTCGGTCCTGCAATGTGGCCAACTTCCGACTCTGACTACATTGACGAGACTCGAGAGTACTATGATCAGATGAAAACATTACATTGCAATCGTCAACGCAAAAATTGGAAGTTAGCCACACCGCAGAGCCGAAACTGAAAAGGTAATAATTGCCCGTAAAATTTAAATCAAAATAATTTGTATAATTTGTAAGATAATGTCGTTATATCACACATCATTGTATCCGTTAAAAAAAACGTTATAATTTTTATCTATTAAAGTTGTCACTTTACATTGCAAAAATTTCGCATGTTTCTCCGCTCTCTAACATAAATAATGTTTCTAAATGATTACTGTGCTTACAATAAAGTCAGAGCCGTTTAATTTAATATTATGTTTATTAGGTCTATCCTGGTCTATCTCTGTTAGTTTACGAGATAAAAAGGGGTGGCCACCAGGGGGTACAAACTCATTAGATTTTTTGGCGACGGAAATGGGATTAGTTCCGTACTAGAGTCCTAGATTATCAGAGAAGCGCGACCGGCTTATGGCAGTATCGCAAAAGTACTAGAAAATATTAAAAATGGCGTCGAATGGCCAATCATAAGATTGATTTATTCGGCAGCCATTTATAATAGCGATAAATCAATCTTATGATTAGCCATTTACTGAGTCGACAAGGCACACAGGGGATA